ACTTCCACTTGACACGATCTCCCATATCATCTATGCTCACATCAGCTGTCCTCACATCGCATTCAATAGTATCCCTTCATCTCTTTTTTGGTTTTCCTCTACCTCTTCTTCCTTCAACATTCGTTTCTATAACTGTTCTTACAGCTTCCAATTCTTTTCTCCTCAAAATTAAATATATATTTTTACCAAATGTAATTGCAATAAAAATCTGTATTTATCTAATTATTTTTAAATAAATGAAGGGTGCAGTTGAAAAATTGTAATTATCCATTTATTATTATATTATATTATCAATTAAATAAATTATAATTTACAGGGTTATAATTATAATTTATCATAATCGACTTAATTACTTATAGAAAAAATATAATTTTAACATTTTTTTTTGTTATATTTAGTTACATATTATTTTTAAATTATTAACTATGTAATACTTTTTAAGTTAATCCCTTATGCCTTTTAAGGGTATTAACTTTGCTTTTTTAAACGGGAATACATATTTTGAATTTAATAAGATGTTTTTTATTTAACAGTAAATAGCATTTGATTTTTTAATACACGAATAAGATTTTATTAAAAATCCTAATACAATCTACTATTAAATTAAAAACTCTAACATTTTATTAAATTAAAAATATGTGTTCCCGTCTGAAAAAATAAAGTTGATACTCTTACAGGGTATAAGAGATAAACTTAAAAAGTATTACATAGTTAATAATTTAAGAATAATGTGTAACGAAAGATAACAAAAAAAAAAAATGTTTAAATTATATTTATTCTGTAATTAATTGAGTGGGATACGATAAAAAAATCAGTCTGTATCTATAATATATTAAATCTAATTTTTAAATAAAGAGCAAAAATAAAGTTATAAATTCCATTCGATTTAATAATGAATTAAAAAATAGACACATAAAATTAAAAAAATTATAAGATTTTTATCGAAAGGATTTCATCACTTAATACTTCTGTTAATGATAATCGATATAAACCATAAAATTAAAATCGAAACAATTGGAATTCTATCAATCTTTACCTGTGCCCTTTAATTGTTAAAGAAATTGAGTTTTAAAAATATTAATATATTATTTTTCACGAATATTAATTTTTTAAATATAAACAAATGGAAAATATATTATTATAGGTAAATGTATTATATACCATAACTACAATAATTTCTAGCACACGCAGTCGATTGAATAGATTATCAGGTTCTAATTACGCTGATTACACTTCTATTCTAATGTATTTGCATATTTTCTTTTTTGCTTCAATAATTGTTTTGTTGAATCAAGTCGCCTAATTAATTTAGCTGCATAGTGTTAATAAAATTTAATTTGCAAAATGTATACCTTTTAAAGTGAAAATGTATAGCTTACAGTTTATTTTATTAATATTAAAATAAATAAACAAAAAATTGATGTATAGTGGTGTAAACTGTACTACTGTGTCTAATAATTGTGATTTGATTTGATGAAAAGTGTTTTTTTTTTATGTTGACAGCTTAATTAATAATTAATAATATTTGACTCATTAATGGTTCATTTTAACTATTTTTACTTTGTTATACTCAGGTACAATGATTTAAATTCATCTGAAGGATATCATTTGTAGAATACTACCTTGGTTTATGTAACAAAATCCTGAGTTTATATTTCAGAACAAAAAATATCGTATTTCTTTTGTTTAGGAGATACGGATGAAGGATGTAGTTTAGGTAATAATTTAAAGTAATTCCATGTTAGTAAGAAAAAAAATTGTTTATTTTTGTATGTCAATATTTATTAGTAGGAAATTCATTAATAATAAAGCAATTTAATAACAGTTAACACATCATACACATATAAAACAAGTATTTACAAAATAATATTATTAGTAAAAAAATTGATTACAACTTTTTAATTTTAAGCTATGGTTAATTTAGAAATATAGGTTTCTGACATGTTTTTCTTTAAAATCTGTTTAATATTTTATTACTTAATATAATTTTGTCATTCATCAAATATGTAATTTTTTTACTCTATTCATATTATTTTAATTTTATATTTCAAAAATTTGTATATTATCGCACAAACTTATGTGATTATTAGATATCGCGTTGTGGCAGCCTACTTAGCCCAGTTAGAAACGCAATGTGCCTATAAACGAATTCGAACTGGAGTTCGATTCCGTTGCGCTGAACTACGTAGGTTTCCCGTGCTCTCTAATACAAGAATATTTTTTAGAGAGAACGTTAATTATAAATAAAATAATGACATTAATACTTGATTATAGTATTAGGTAATAATAATTTATTTATAATAATAATAATTTATTACAATAACGAGATTTGTTTACAACATTATAAATATATTGTTTACAGATTATAAGATGAAAAAAAAATTTAGTTTGGGAATGATAAATTTTGATGGTAAAAAATTAATTAAACCATATGATTAATATATAGTTTTTATGAATAAATACAGGAAAAATATAAAAAATAATTAAATTTTGATAGTCTTATAGAAATATTAAAAAACATCTGAAATATGTAATTATTTTTTTAAAAAAAAAAGAATAAATAATACAAATTTTACTTTTTAATTGTACTTTTCATAACATTTATTAATAATGACTTGGAAAAAATAAACACGCGTGTTTTTTTTGCGTTTAGGTATTCATTGAAATGCAAATAACGTAAAAAGTAATTAATAAAAACAGGTTAAAATATAAGATTAAAGGTCTCCTTTATATTTTTAAAATTATTTCTTAAAAGTTCTTTTTGTAGACTTTGTTTATAATTTGTATAGTATAATAATATAGTAAACAATATTTTGTTAAAGTAATTTTCATTTAAATTGTTAAAAATAAATGTTTACTATTTCATTAATAGATGGGATGTATTACAAAAATTATGTTATAAATTTTAAATAATTATTTTTTATTCACTTAATATTTTCATTTGAAAGAACATAATAATTTTCTTAACAAATAAAAGTTAAGTTATATACAAACAATTTTCTGTGAAATCCTGTTATATTAAAAATTATATTAATAAATAAAATAAACAATTAAAATTTTTTTAAAAAATTGTTCTATTATTTTATAAAGAAAAATAATTTTCAGCTAGATAATAAATTATACTAAAGTAGTAGATTTATAACAATATTGTAGTTTTTATCGTTCATAAATATATTTTTTTATTATACAAATATACATATTATTTTATATATTCACAATTTTGGTAACATATCTTAAAGCCATAAACTAAAAGTCAACATAAATAGATATTGTTTTAAAAAAATCATTTCAAAGAATAATACTGCAATTTCTCTCAAATAGGTTTTTGTCATCGAAAAACATGAATTCAACCATTGCTGCAATATTAACAAATAACATTTATAAAATTGTGATCTTATTGAATATTTCATTTTCTATTATTTATTCATATATTTTATTCAATAGAATTTAATAAAAAATCGAAGACTACAACCAATGAATAGATAGATTCAACCATTTAAAATATTATTAATGATTAGTTGGAGTATCGTAATATAATAATTCTTGATTCCAATAGTGAATCTATGCAACAAAATTCAAGTAAATCATATTTAAATGTATCCAAGTAGTGCAGAGGCTTAATTTATGTTAATTTATTTTTAATGTTTGATGTTTAATATGAAATTTTAATATTAAGTTCTTAAGATTTAATTAATACATTCAGAAAGGGTAAAATATTTTAATTATACGAATAAAAAAATATTTATTTGTTTACCATATATCAAATTGAAAAGAAATATCTTTATTTTGTTGAATAATTAAGTTTTTGATTTAATTTTTTCAACTCCATAATTATACACAAGTGCATTTTTACTATTTTACAAATATAGTACGAGGGTATAAATGGCTGCATTTACGTAAGGTGTAAAATTAGTGCAAAAAATCATTGCATTAATAACTTTTTCGAATTCACTTGTTTTGAAGTTGACATATGCATAAGTATTAATATTCCTAAATTATACAACAAAACAGAATTTGAAAACGTTTTATAGTGTTATAATTATGACGATTATAAATGTTAAAAAAGATAAAACCAAAATCAAAACTATATCAATAAGTTTAAATAACAACACTAAACAAATAAAAAATAATAATAAATTAAATAACACTGTAGTAACAAAAAAAAAAATCGTTTGAAACGTTAAAAAGCGTTATTAGACGTTTTATAACGTTATCGTTTCTTTTATAAAAAAATATATAAACAGACAATTATACACACAATTATTGCATTATCAAAATCAAATAATGACAAATAAAAAATTCAGTTTATCAAATGCATAATACTGATGTTATTATACTAACATGCATTATTGTTAGCGAGTATCATGAATAGTTGTATGGGAAAAGATAATATGTAAGGAAAGTGCATGATTGAAAAAATTACAATTAACAAAATAGAAGTAAAAGTACACATGTAACGTTCGCAGTCTTTTCTATGAGAAATACAAATATGTAAGAAACGACAAAACGTGTAATTCTGCAGGTTGGCGACCACTTTTATGCCGATAACACACAATCTAAATACCAGCAATTGAATCATGTCAACTAACCATTCCAAATTCAAAAGAAATCACAGGTTAAAAGATAACTTAAATATATATGTACATTAATGTACAGACGATCGTACAGTAAATGATTACCACATGATTTTATTGTGTATTATGGTAATTCTTAAAATTTATGTTATAAAATTGAAAAATTGTACAATCTAAATCAGTTTGAATGCTTATAAAAATGAGGTGCCCCCAAAGATTGATATGAATCCGATTTGATTGACCCCAATCATAAAAAGCTTAAAGTTTTAAATCTCAATAATTTTGGATAACCGTATATTTTATATTGTTTTTTCAACATATTACATTAAATAATTAATTCACAAAAATATCTTAAAAGTAATATTTAAACCAATTTTTATTCTAAACAACTTTTTCATAAATAATTTATTAGTGAAGAAACTGCTAATATAAATTTTTTATTGCTAAACTCATAAAATCAATTCCAGTATTAGTTTTATAGTATGGCAAATAATAAATAATATTTGTATTATCACTAATAATAATTGTTAAACTAATTATCTAAAATAGCATTTTTTTAGGAAACTGGAAACATTCTTTTACTGTAGTCGTTCACTACTTAAAGAAAATATAGGTTTTGACTTCATCGTAGGTATGTTATTTTAATCTTAAAATGCTTTAGTAGTTTATTACTTTCAGTTTTATCATTGACTAAATTTGAACTATTAATAGAACTGTCGATCCTTTAAATTTTTTATTAATACTCCATAATAATGGGTGAATAATGAGAAAATTATTGTCTATATTAAAACGTATGAAAATAGCATTCATTTACAACAAATGAAATCTTCTTCAAAGATTTTTATACTTCAGTAGATTTTTTATCATTCCATAAATATCTACTGGTTTATTGTCATTAGTTTGAATTTTAAAAACAACTATAATTTTTCTTTTAGTGACATGTATCGTGTGAATTAAAAATTGATAATAATACCGTGGTCTCGGACGATAGATACCATAAATGGCTAAACAGGTTTTTAATTGTGATTTCTGGTATATTTTTATCTAATGACTGATGTTTAATAAAGTTAAATATAAAATAAAATCTCGGCATGGTGCCTGGGAGGCGGTGCATAAAACAAAGCGTATACATATAATCGATTAATGAAATTGCAAATATTAACAAATGACATTTCTCCTCTTTGTTAAAAACACAATTGATTTACGAGTAAAAATATTTTTAAACAATATAAAGCTTTTTCCATCTATTTAGAATGATAGACAGCTCCCGAAACTTCAGAGAAAAGTTTGCACGGGGGAACTCCATCCAGAAAAGTGATTGTTAGTTTAATGAGAAAATAGTTATTTGTTAAGTTAATTACATCTACACCTATATAAATTATTATTTTTTTTTTTCAGAGTTATTCATTGTACCTGGCTAGAATTTGTTAGTAGCTATGTTTCTTCAACATTGTTGAAAGCGTATAAGTATTGGTACATCAGGACCAGATTTTGTACACAATCATACTTCAAAAACACTCTTCAAGCCTAATTCGTAAATATGATGTCGACATGGTATGTATAAAATATTATGTTATAAGTAATTTTCTTATAGAATACAAGTACCGATTAATATATCCAAATTTTCTATTATGCACCAATCAATGAGGAAAATTGCATTAGTCTGGCTAACCTCTGTTTTTGTATCAACTGTTGAAACTCCTAATAATATACTCTCACCATTATACGAAGCAATAAAAGGCAGTCTATTAACATTTTTTTGTTTTGTTAATGGTTGTAATGGTTAAAGCGTATGAATCTCACAAAAAAAACAATGGAAACATTAACAGTTACCCAATAATCACTACGAATTTTTTCCACGCGCTATTCGCGGAAACGTATATGTGAGTGTCCAATTGAAAGACTATTAATATCATAATTAATTTTTCAACTTGCTTACTCAATGCTTTTACTGTTAATATTAATGCAGATAATGCATCCTTATTACTTATTTCCCATTTATCAAGAGCAGCTACAAGTTTTTGAGTAATTAAATCACACTTCCTTTAGTTGGTTGATTAATGTACATTTTAGAAGGACCAGGTTTGTTAAAATCATCCTAAACTACGTCAGACTCTTCTGATTTTAATGAGAAAATTTCTACTTGTACAAATAAAATGGATACTTGATTATTAAATTATAATTTTGATATAATATACAACTTGCTTAGTGTCTATAATTCGTCATAACTTCTTATTAATCTTTCTACAGCTCTTTTTTTGAAACTTTCAAATTTAATTCTAATATAATTCCATAGCGTCCTTTTTACTTGAGCTTTCATTAAAACTATCTTCTTCGATGGCATTTAATTATCAGCATCAGATTGAGCACTGTCAAAGAAATCAACTAATTTTAAGCTAAATTCTTCATTTTATATTATTTCAGTTTGCACCTTTTGAAAATTTCTTCATTAATTTTTATATTTTTAAAGTTTTCTTGTGAATTTTTAACAACAAAAATATTTACATTAACGTTTTTTCAAAAATAATAAATTAATGAAAAAATTATTTAGAATAAAATTTATTTTAAATATCATTTTTAACATATTTTACCTTTTGAATATTTTTTGAGTCCGTTATTTAATGCTTTATGCTATCAAAACAATGAAAAATAAACGGTAATACAAATTTATTGATACTTTAAACATTAAGCTTTTTGTGTCACAATTTAATCTTTTCCGATTTACCTGAAACTTTTGTGTACCTCATTTGTAAAAGCCTTAAAATTAGTTTATTATTTCAAATTAGTGTATGATTTTTTAAGTTTAATGTCTATTATCATCTTTATTTATTAAAATAACTCTAATCAAACCTATAAATTATTCCTAAAATAAATACCATAATTATAACTATATTAATGATTAAGTGTAATCATTTTGTTTAAAAATGAATTGGATTTGGACATATCGATATTGAATATTATTATTTATTAAATTATTATTAATTCTGTTTATTATTGTATTGTTTATTTAGTTTTAATAAATATTCAAGTGTACACTATAATAGATGTACATAGTTAAAAATCTTTTCCGAATCTTAATTGAATTTTTATATAATTTTCTAGTAATGAATGTTTTTTTTTATTAATATAATTTTATTTAGTGAGTATTAATTTGCAGTATTAAAAATGTATAAATACGAACAGTATGGCCAAAAGTGTATACAAATTATTTATTATCTACCTGGCGTGTAAAATTTTATGAAGAAGAAAAAAACGAACTTGATACGAAGGCAAAAATAAAAATCTACCTATATCTAAAGAGTTAAGACTTTTGGGTGTTATATCTATTTTATCTATTCGTTTAATATCATTCGCTGTTAATTTATGATTATTATTTTTTTTTAATTTACCATGTCAAAGTTGAATAGATGAAGGTTAATACTGTTGGCGCTGGTGTACTAATGCTATGGCGACCAGTAAAACCGCAGCAAATAGCGTGTGGCAGTGTGGCGGGGAAGCGGAAACTGAAAGCGCTTCGGCTGCGGTTTCTACACAACTGTGAAACCGACTATAGTCCAACTCTCTAACAGCACAATAGTGCATTCTACGGCATTCTAAGTTACACTCTCGAGATTGGTGTAACCGCACAGAGTTGGCCTCGATGTATCTGAAAATAAAAAGTTCATATTAAAAACATGATTCTCGAGAAAAATAATAAAATGCAAAGTAGATCTCTATTATTAAGATAAAATGTTTCACTTTCGAAAAGTTAATATTAGCTTATTACAAATAAATAAAGATTATAAAAACTAAAAGTTCATTTATTTGAATTTGTCTATGCACAATAATAATAGGAGATTAAATTGCAAATTTTTATAATTTCTTTTATACATTGCTTTTGCACAATACAATACATGTAATAACAATATGCCCGGGTGGATAGTATTCAAATAATGTAAAACGAACAAAGGAATCATCTCTCTTCTAAGGATAATAGATAATATGAACTTCGTAAGGGTGCCAAGTATTCCACACACAATTCTGTAGCATATTTTATACATCATATACAGGTGGAGTTTTCTTATTGTTGTTAAAATACAAAGTAAACTGCAAGTAGAAAAGTTTAGGAACTACTTGATAATTTATTTTAATATACTTAAACCTAAGTACCGTCATGTCTAAAAAATACTCTATATTATTGTTATTTTTTTTTTTACAAAGTAAAATTTCGAGCTGAAGATAAAAATTAATAATGACACTTAGAACATTAATAGAAGAAATAATAAACCCTTAAGTGAATTTAAGACATTTTTTATAAATGCTTGTTTATCTCTTAATATAACTACCAAAGAAAAAAATATAGACCAGACTTAAAATTTAATATCAAAAATAAAGACGGGATATTTATAATTTTAATGTTGTTGTGCTAGTCAAATTGCTTATTCGTTCAAATATATTGTAAATTACTCATTTTTGAGTGATAGAAGTAAAAAATAAAAGACACATAGTCGGTTGATATACATTTATTGTATGTAACTGTATGATATAATGTGACTGAAATCTTACAAGACCAAAATAATTAACGTATAAAAGCGATGACTTTGATATAAAACGAACATTTCTTAATAGAAAGTCCGTAAGACATGTTACATTTAGGTTTTAGGATAAATATTATAATTGTCTCGTGTAATTATTATAATATTTGTACCCCTTAAATTATTTAAATTACAGTTAGTAAAAGTCAATTTTCCATGCAACAATGAAAAAAAATTGATATTAATATGTAATATGTAAATATTTTAAAAATAATTATCTTTTATGATTAATGAATATAAGTTAAGTAATTTGACTAACATTAATTAAGAAATATGTATATTAGAATTTATATAGAAACATTTTTGTTTATCAGTTTTCAGCATTCATTATCAATATTATCTTGCTAAATTAGCTAAATGTTTTATTTAAATTATCTTTTTAATAGATGCCATAAGTTTTAATTGTGCATTGGTAGTAATATTACAGCATTCGGTTATGAAAAAAAATTAATAATCATTAATAGGAATCTAATAATGAAACTTACTAAATATAGTATGATGCCCAAAATGAATAATGAATATATCCGTAAAAGTATCTTTAATGGTTTTTCATTCTTATCAATAAAATAATAAATTTGAATACTCGTTAAAAGTTTGGAAGACGTGATTCGGCGAAGTCAATAATGAAGCGCACTTTAAGAGAAATGCTGAGTTTTTTAGCAAAGCAAAACAAAACGTATAAAGTTACAAATGAATAATGAAGTATCTCAAGTTAGTTTCAAGTATAATCTTAAGTTGAAAACTAAATTCATTTCACTATATTATATTAAAATAATAATGGCGCATAAAACTGGAAGTCTTAATAATAATGATTGCAGTATAATTATAGATTTAAGTTAAAAATATAACAATACATGTTAAATACTCCATTCGTATATTGTGCAAATGGAGTATGCAATAATTTAAGTAAAACAAAATTAATGACTGCGAAATGGAGTTGTGTGTATTTAATATCATAGCAATTAAATGCAATATTCATATCATTGAAATATTTTGTGCAATTATGCCAATGAAACAGTAAAAATATTTAATATTAATTTATTTGAGTACCAAACAAAATTATAATTTTTATTCTTTTCATCACTATTTCAATAGTTGAAGAACATTCAAACGGTCAGCACGTTTTGAAGTAAAGTCGAACTAAAGTTAAGATCTCTCTAAACTTTAGATTTTCTTCTTTCGAAACAAGCAGAAGTACGTGTGATAACAAACATTTTCATCAAAGATTATTTATGAGTTATAAATAATTATCCCCTAATAGTTTTTTCGATGAATTATTTAAAAATAAAAGTGTTATTCAATGAATTGTGTAAAAATATCAACAGAAAATTTTTATTTTCTTAGATCAAATCAATTGAAATAATAATCTCGAACAGTTAGCCTAATGTTTTATCAATTTTTGTTTTAATTTAATATTTTATTTAATTGTGTCGTTATCATTCATATAATTTAGGTAACCATGTCAAATAATAATAACATTAAAGAATATGCTTCATAAAATAATTGTTTAAGTACGACTAATATTAGTCGTTACCTGTCAAACTGTATAGAATTATCCAGTTGAAATGTCTCTGCCACTTCATGTAATGATCTTGGCGTGATTTCATGTAGCCCATAATATTGTGTCAAATTGTATTCTACTCTCCAGTCATCCGGACTTCCATTCGTCGACGTTTCTAAGTCGATATAATATTGAGTGTAATCTAAAATCTTTAAATAACAAATTCAGATATCCGTAATTAATATTTTAACTTTAATTAAGTTTTGGATACATGCACTTACATGGCCGGAATTAATATTAAATTTGTAAAGTCTTAGGCCTGGGTTATTCGATATGCCTGGCGATTTGCTAGGTGTTAAAGATGGTGACATCATCATCCACGACACCGGCCTTTCTGTAAATATTTGTATGTTTTTAATTATTATTTAAATTAAAAATACTTTTTCGGGTATACTTTAAAAATAATGAACAGATTAATTTTTACTTGGAAAATATTAAGTATTTTATATAACAGTATTTTGTTTATATAAAACACACACGTGTGTTATTTAAAATTTAATATTATGTTTATTATTTCTTTTATGTACCAAAAACGAATAGTTTTTTTTTATTTTTGCATGTTACAGTATGGAATTCGAGAATTAAACATTTTTTAAATTCTATACCTTAAAACTTCATTGCTTTTGAGAATTTATCATTGACTTATTAAATATTTGAATAATAAACTTTTTAATTGAAATTTTAAGAGGGTTGCCTTTAACATATTTATTTGAAAAACGTTTAATTAACTTTTGACGTTTCTAACTTTCTTATTATCATTGGTACACACAGTAAAATTTTAATTTTAAGTCTTTTTACTAAATATTACTTTCAGCACATTTTCTTTGAAAGATGTAACTTAAAGATAATTGATAATTGAAAATTGCTTTAAAGTAATGATAAATATTGGAATAACTATATAAATATGGTTGTGATAAAATCCATTTTGAGTCAACTAAATAATTGTTTAATAAGCTGTACTAAACATTAATTCAGTTTTTTTCTAATACTTGTACATTAATATCATACAATTTGTTTGTGTATTAAGGTGTTCTAAATACATCAAAATGAGATGTAAATTAACTAAATAACAATGATATTATTGTGAACAAAATTAGCTCAGAGTATGTGTTGATAAGCTATGTGGATATCAAATTTTATGTCAATCGAGAAATTTAATGATTAGATATACAAAGTGTATTTTCTTAAAAGTATTTTGAATAATTAATTTAAGTTGTTGAACAACTTTTTTAATCTCAATGGATTATTATTAAAATTTTATTTTTATAGCGAACTTTTTAAAATGTTCTTTTTAAAGTTATTTAAATTTATTTTGATTTTTTTTACAAACTAAAAGTGATTTTATAAATAGAAAAGTAGTATTTGTAGCATAATTTATCTGATATTAAATTCAAAAAATAAGTTTTTATATTGTTTGAAACATTTAACAGCTAACATCGAAATTATATGACATTTATTTTTTTAAATAATAATTGATATTCATAAGATTTTGAAAAAAATATATATAAAAATTTTAACAATATTTCATAAATAAAGGACTTTTTATTAGTTATTTAACAAATATAATTTTTTAATCTGAATACAAATTAGCAATTTTATGAGTAACTATATAAATAAAATTTCAGTATTCAAATGAACTAGTCACCTCTAGTTAAACTTGTATCTTCTAATCTAACTTCAATAAATTCTTAGAAAATTCTAAGTTAGATTATAAAATAGGTTGTGTTATGTTTAGTTGGATCACAAATTGACAAACTAATAATTATTATCGAAAGCTACTAGATCTGAAACTTTGAGAAAAATAAAATGTTGTCGACAAGGACATATGTAATTTAAACCATATTTTTCACAAAGCCAATATATCTATTGATAAAATTATTTATGACGAAAAATATATAACTTATTTACAAAAATATAATTAATAAGCATAAAACAGTAGTGAATTTTGTCAAGGCGAGTAATAAATTTAAATTTTAGTTAAAATCAAAAAAATTGTATTATTTTGAAAACAAATAAGTAGCTAAATTAACAATTTAATTGATTTGTATAAAATAAAATTTTGCTTAGTTATAATATAAGAGTTTATATTATTTCAGTTTATTATTAAGTAAATATTTATCAACTCTATTTTAAGTAGTTGTATGCGAATTAAAGCTACATAATAAATATATAATATACCATTATACTAAAAAAATTTCTTTTTATAATTTTTATTTTTATGGAGGAATTTTTTTCTTTAGAATTAAACATTTTCTATAATCTAGAATTATTGATTCATATAATTATTCTAAAATATTTTTAAAAATACCATCATTAAGGTTTTTTTATTATTAATCCATTATTAAGAATTAAAAATATTAACTTGAAAAATGCATTATTGGACATTTTTAGGATAATAAATTAGGATTAGTTTAGGAGTAATAAAAAATTTGAATTTCTTTCATTTCGTGTCTACCTATTTTTAAATCATTCAGAAATATTGTATAACTTACTATTGTGATCATATACTATTCGAAAAGTATCCGAGTGAAGGTCACCACAGAACTGACCAACAATAATATTGGCATACCTCCGAATCAATTGTAAGTACTTAGAACTATATTTATCGTGAAATTTGGGAGCTTCATCAGGATCCCTTTCATTGACTCCTGGACATTTATGACTAACTAGATAAACCTATAAAAAGGATGAAATAAGAATTTTATTCAAAGTAATATAAATAAATAATAATAAAAAAGTACTTTAAGTTTTTCAGTAAATCTTAAAAAAATAATAATAATAAGTAAAATTAAAATTGTTCAGTTTTTAAAATACGTGTTTTTAGTTCTGATAAAAAAACTCAATTAATTATATGAGTATTTATAATATATAATAATTTTAGTCTATTATTATCAAATTATATATTTATAAACCTATTGTTTTAAATGAATAATAATAAATTTATAATAATTATTTGCATGATAAAAGATGTCTGCAGTTATCTAATTTATTAAAACTGACATTTTTTATTTATTAAACATTATATTATTTGTATTTACCGTTTCTTTATTTTTAGCGGACTTTAGAAGAATTCTTTCTAACCATGCGAGTTGCTCATTTGGATTAACATCTTCATCATTTTCGTATGAGGTAAATGCATTAGAATTTAGAGCAATTATTCTCAGTTTATTGCTTTTTTGTTCTATTGTGTAGTAACCACCTGAAAATAAACATAATTAAAATTTATAATTCACTTATTCTTAGAATAGTTCATTAATATTATTAATTTTGTTACATAAAACTATAACACTAATATATTGGTGTTTTATCAATGGATTTCAATGAAATGGATAAGTCAAAAAATGTTTTTTTTTAAATTAAAATTGAATTTTATAAGATACATTTTTTTCTTGTTGCAATATTGAATTTCTTAATCCGTGTTATTATAATATAATATAATAGTGTAATTATCATTTATAATTCATATTTCATGAAGTATAGTTTTATAGTTAATTTAAAATAGATATATGTTGTTTATTTGAGTTATCGATTTGTTTAATATTTAGTACAGTAAGTAGCATACAAAGTAAACAAATAAACACTTACTTACACTTTATCATAAAATGTAAGCAAAATGCATTGAACAACTTTTTAGTCTTTGGGATAAGTTATTTTTATGAAAAACTTTTTCGTCGGATAACATAACGAGATTTACTTTAAAATTACGAAGCCAATTTTCTGTAAAATATAATACATTTTTTTATACAATCGCGTTATAATAATTTTAAGATCACTGTACTAACGGTAAAATATAAGGTAAATCGGCAGTGTTTTAGAGGCACAGTTGGTTTAAATATTTTATACGCTTTTGACGGAGAACGCCGTTATTTAATTTTTATAAATTTGTCTGGCTGGAAAAAGAGTAGAATTTTGCGTAAGTGCCACACGTCAGATCCGCTTTAATTGTACGCGTATGACCTGAAGTGAAAACATTTGACTTTTGACATTTTTGAACTAATGGATTCCTTGATCTATTCCAGTTATGTAAACACTTTATCAAAAAATTCCAAGTGACAAATATGAGGATTTTCGATGATGTTTCATAGCTGTAACGTTCACTTGTTTCTCAAAGAGATTACTATATCACAACGATGCTGAAAATAAGTAATTCGTTGACAAAGTTTCTTATATTTCCAATAATGTATACAAGTACTATTTACCGATGGCCGAACGCTCTATTTTCCTTCGGAGAAATATATAAATCACTTTAAAACACCCTTTTCGTCGAACAATGATAAACAGTCAGCATTTTCTCTTTATTTTCACAAACGTAGCGTACATATAATATAAGACACATGTTAACGCGCACACATCAATAACCCTAACACAGGCGTAATTTTCCAACTATTTCCAACAAAAATATTTATTTTGGTAATCGAACATTTCTTATAAAAATAAAAGTTGACCTGTTTGCATATTTTCAATGTCAAATTGCCGTAAAATGAAAAGAAAGCAAAAAAAACCAAGTATTTTAGAAACTTATATAAATCAATCAATAAAAACAAAAATAAAACATCAATTGAAATTATTCATAAGTAAAATTATACACTAGTTTCTGTAATTTTTATTTTCTTCCGATATCAAGTCATATAATGTGATCGAGTTAGTAAAAATCTTTGTAGGAAATCCAAATACTTTGTAGAATTTTTTGTAAAAATATTCAAAACTTTTTTTAAATCATGGAAATTAAGACACATATTTATTTTATTAAAAAATTGGTTAATTTTTTATTAGTTACAATAGAATATTTTGATATAAGGCAAAATCTATGTAACTGGTTTTCACGATAACCAATGCGGCGTTTTAGTTATGCAAAAAAGCAGCATTTGTGAAATTTTTTATTTAACATAACTCAAGTATAATAGTTTTTAATGTCAATTTATAAATAATAATACGATCATTTTCTTATAATGTTAAATTAATTACAACGTATGTTTGATTGGTAACCAATATGTAATGTATATTTTTACTTTAGTGTTTACCTATGTTCAGTTTAATTTAAGAAGAATAATTTACAAACTAAATATTTTATTTAAACCTCCTGGGTAAGTACAGTAATGCTTTGGGTTTGTTGTTACACTTGTGCGTAAAGAACATATGTTTTATGTAAAATATTCTACATAAAACATAATACAAACGAAAAGTAATTTACGAGATATTAGTTCATTCGTGTTTTTTTTTTAAAAGCAATTGTTTTCAAAAAGGTAATACCTAAATAAATAATATACGTTTAGGGTCCATTTTTTAGATCAGCTCAGGAACAACGATTAAAATATAATATTTATATAATTTTAATAATGCATTAAACATGGTTCTCAATGAGTGATCTTAATTGACTCCGGTAATCGACAAATCCATTGACGCATTAATGACGTGCGACTTTCTGTTTGTTAACTTGATTATTTCCATAATGATAGTATACATTTAATAGATGTCGTGATACCGAATGGTCGTAATGTGTTTCTACCAGGTTGTGAAAAATCCATTTTCCGTTTGACGTGCCACTAACGAATAAATAATAATAATCTGACTATTAATAATAAGTACTGCTGTGCTAAAACTGTTAACACCATTACAGGCGTTCGGGAAAAAAAACCTCACTAAAGTGACGTTGTTGATGAGCTTTTAACACGGAAAACAGCTAAAGGTAAGGATATAATTTTCAAACGTACGGCTAGGTACTGGTACGATTATTATATTGGCAAAGTATTTCCAAGTTTAAAAAGGATGTTTAAACTATTTGAAAACAACAAACGCGAAATACCGTATGGTATTCATTGTGAACGAACGCACAGTGGCTATGTTTTAACTTTAGCTGTTAGGGCTATATACAATAATGTAGTAAAGACATTTATAGGTATGTGACTTGATAATTTATAGGTCTGAGATAGATGATGTGATACAGATAACGACCCTCGTAAAATAATATTGTATGCATAATATCATGCAAATACAGCTGTAGTTTCGTGTGTTGTTTCAATTAATCGATTTACTATAACACGATTTACAAATTAAACTTAATGTATAATATCAAAATCATTTTGTTTGGGTATTTCTATACATTTTTATAAATTAAATATTTTACTATTGTCATTTTATTTATTACATTATTTTATTTGATCATTATTTTGTAATATTAACTGTTTATTTTAATTTGTTTGTTTTACTCCCAAAAAAACATACACAATTCTTTTTATATCACCACAAAACTAAATTATGTTTTCATTTCAAAAGAATGTATTTACAATAGACTGCAAGAAATAACACTGTTTATCAATTTTATATCAGTTGACCAAGTAAAAAAATCTTCATCCTCACATATGTATAGAATATATAATATCTTTTCCATATACACTTACATATTATGTAAGTTTTATGATATCTACTTTAAGATTTATATCTACTCTTTAAAATAATCTTATAGCATTCCATTAAAACAGTATTTAACTTATAATTTTCACACCTCCGAAGTAAATTATTTAAGTAATAGATATTTATGAATTTTGTTCATTGCGCATACATAATTCAGTTAGTTTATAAAGTCAGCTATAAATTATTACTAATGTTTAATACTTTAACACTCTATTTCTTGTTATTATTTGCAAAGTAGTCAAGATTATTTTAGGTTAATTTGTATTCATTTCAAACTTTTTAACTGAAATACTTTTTTAGAAGCGATTAAAGGAAAACTTATAAAGAATTTAGTTATTTCAATAAAGAAAATCAACATGGCCGATAAAAAAAAAAGTTAAAATTCTTTGTTGAATTAAGCTAATTTATCTTTAACTTACTTCTGCCTTATAATAAAAATACCAAAAATTTAACTGCAAATCACATGTGTTTAAATTTTGTCTCTGAAATTTTTAACTGATTGATTTATTAATGTATACAAATTAATGTATGAAGAGTGGCTAAAGATCCTATCCAAGTAATATAACCACCAATACCGAATTTTCTTCAAATAAAACAGTACGTTTAAGGTGACATAAATGTTTTATGAAATATGTACCTAATTCTAAAATGACTTATTTTAATATTCTATATTTCTTAAATTAGTTTTTGTATCGGCCAAGTAATGAAATTACGACCATAAAGTATATATATTTTCCGATTACTTTTCCAAACTTTCTCAATTATTTTTTCGTCTTCATTCAGGCTTACATCTCTAATCCTCGTGTAATCTATTTTACGTTTAAAGAAGTCTAAACTTATTTCTGAACTCATAACTTATTACGTACAATGTTTATTTATTTATATATTAATTTATTTTTTTCTTATTATTAAGCATAATTGAATAGTTCATTTTTAAATTTCGCTTGACTGCATAAAATCAATATGATATCATTATTTCGGTTAACAATGCTCAAGTCAGAAAAAACTCAAGTCTTATTACTTCAAAACTTATTTATCGTTCGGTATTTTCGATATGAATTTGTTCTTTTTAATTTTTTTTTTACAAGTTTTATATTTATTTGCCATATGAAATATGAAAGTTGAAGATACAAAATAATTAATTGTTCACCAATCAGGAAAAGTTTTTTTATTCATTCATTTACAGCGTAAAAATCTATAAGTGGTAAACAGCGATACAGATTATAGGCGCATTTTTTTAGATTCATTTTGCTGACTTGGGGATACTTCTAATATCATAAACACACATCTTTTCTCTAATCTTTTAACGCACCATCGCACGTACCATGTTTGAAAAGCACATTTTCAACCCAATTTGGTCAATCTACCTTTTTTGAATGCATATATATGTATACATGTGATACAACACGATCCTAGGTTACATTTATGTGTCTGGTATACCGAGTATTTTTTTTGAGAATGTTTGTATAACATTTTTATGTCATTTTTTTTTCTACTGACGAGACAATATAATATATAGAATGATCCCTTAACTAAGCCTCATGAAGCATCTTTAAATATATTAGAGATAATCAAAATTTAATTTGTTTAACTATAATAGTTCTTTGTTGAGCTTTTTTACAAGGAAAATTCATTTTCTACTACTAACCCTTATACCCTAAACTTGTATGATCTTTTGATGTTCAAATAAGAAAATTAACTTTTTTTATATTATTAGATAAACAGTAGAACCTTGGAAAAATTTAAAACAATGATTTTTTACTTATTGTAGAATATAAAGTTAGAGAT